GGTTAGCTAGTTCCTCAATAGTAGGTGGGTTATTTCTAAGTTTTGAAACTGATTTTTTTCGTGATTTCTCTGTTCTTCAAATATTTATTCAATGAAAATAGTGCTTTTCGTCTCATCCTGGTAAGGAATTTTTCAAACTTTTGTAATAAAATTAGCATGTATTCCTCCTTGTTTTGAATAGGACTATTTTTTTAATTTGTACGCTTTTTTGAATTTTTGCATTAAGGTTTGATCCGTAAATAATAAGTAACTTTCCTGCGCTCGAAAAAATATTGTGCGTTCGAAAAAAATCTGTGTAATACCAAATTAATACACATAAAACATAAGGTATGTTATTGTGTACCGGTTAAGATGGTTCATGAAAGCATAAACAAAATACACTGTAAATGAAATTGCTTACCTGTACAATGCATAAAAGGTTAATGGTCAGAGTTGAATCAGACCCGGAAACAATAGTATTAAAAAGGGCTCAATGCACGTGTGAATATATATATATATATATATATATATATATATATATATATATATGTGTGTGTGTGTGTGTGTGTGTGTGTGTGTGTGTGTGTGTGTGAGTGTGTGTGTGATACATAAAAGGTTAATGGTCCGAGTTGAATTAGACCAAGAAACAGTAGTATTAAAAATCTTCAATACGCGTGGGAAAATTGATATACATGTAAAAATAACGCGTGTAGAGCTTTTAACTTTAAAAATCAGGAGGTCAGTTGAATCTGCTACCTTGGTTTCAACCTTACGGTCACCTCAGGCGATTTTTGTCAAATGACCTCTTAACGTTTTTTTTTTTTTGTTTTTTTTTTTAAATAATGAACGCTATAGTATTATTTTCAAAAATAAATAAACAAACGCCCGACGTTAAGTGTAACAGAAAGTGAGGAGGAGGGGGATGGGAAAAGAAGAAGAAGAAGAAGAAGAAGAAGAAGAAGAAGAAGAAGAAGGAAGGAAGGAAGGAAGGAAGGAAGGAAGGAAGGAAGGAAGGAAGGATATTGTAAATGTATTGGTGGCAGGTGTAACTGAAAGGTACATTACTTTTTTTTTTCTATCCAGCCTGATATGTGCTTAAGAGGATTTTTCTAATATGTAATCAAGGACTTAAGACTACGGATTTCTGGTTCGATCCAGAAACGTCATAATCTTTATGTTTTCCTGTTGGCAGAGGTTTCAAATATTGTTGTAATTGTCATAATGCTTTTGCCTTTTTTTTAATTTTCTACCTAAGTATATATATATATATATATATATATATATATATATATATATATATATATATATGTGTGTGTGTGTGTGTGTGTGTGTGTGTGTGTGTGTGAAAAGTGTATATAAATATAGATAAATATATATATGTATAATTATTTATATATTATATGCAATATATATAGAAAGCGCTCAATATCAGAGATAGAGCTAACATATTTGTTGGATAGATGTGAGTTTGTGACCCTGGGTTTCACGCTTTAGCGATCGTCGTGAAACCCAGGGTCATGCACTACATCTATCCATAAATATATATATATATATATATATATATATATATATATATATATGGGAGGAATGGTGAGGTTCAAATGTTTTTCAATGTATACCTCTTTTTTTTTCATTTCAGACCCTAATTTTACTCTAAAGGGTTCTGAGGTAAAAATCCTATGATTAGTCCTGATTTTACTCTTAGACTCCGGTGGCAACAGAAATAGACTAAATCGTTTTCGTTAGTGGGTTTGTGGTAAACAATAAAATTTAAAATTGCTATTGTTACGTCTCTGCAGCAGATAGTACTGGGTTACATCATACCAGTAGCACGTACAGAGTTACTTGACATCATACACTCTACAATAAAGAAACGCAATATATACCATCACAGACGTATATATCACATGTATATCGTCCCCTCCTGCAGCTGAAAAAGATCATAAGTACCTTTGGCCATTGCAACAGTTTTGGAGTGGTTATTATTATATTATTTACATTATTCGGACTAATGTCCTCATGTTTGTTGCCATATTTATAACAACCTTTCGGCCTTCTTCAGGCGGTTGGAATGTCGAACTGAACCCTTTATTTCTCTCTCTGGGCTAGACTGTTCTAATTCTATCTGCCATGTTTAATGGATGCCAGTTGTCAGTTATCTCCTCAAGGACACATGGCACAGTGGATAAAGGCGTTAGTTAGATCCAGTGACAGGACCCAAAGAGCGTAAGTTCAATTCCCGGTAAAGGCAGTGGAGGACTTGGAGAGGGGAATTAGCAGGAGATAACAGACAACTGACACCCATTAAACATAAGGTAGTTATTCATATAAAATGCAATTCTATTGTAACTTAATTTTGTACAATAATGAATCATATGCAATATAGCTGAAAAAATCAACTAGAAAAATTAAAAATAAATACAATGTACACTATTTACATTAATCGGACTATTGTCTTCATCTTCGTCGCCATATTTATCACAACGTTTCGGCCGTTGTACGCTCCGGCCTACTTCAGGTGATTGGAATGTCGAACTGAACCCTTTATTTCGCTCGCTGGGGTAGACTGTTCTAGTTCCACGTGCCATGTCTAATGGATGTCAGTTATCAGTTATCTCCTGTTAATTCCCCTCTTCAAGTTCTCCACCGCATTAACCAGGTATTGAACTCACACTCTTTGGGTCCTGTGCCATGTGTCGCTGAGGACATCTGTGTGTAAATTTCTGGGTAATTTCTGGAGAGGTCAATTAACAGGAGATAACTGATAACTGACCATAACTGCCTTTACCGGGAATTGAACTTACGCTCTTTGGGTCCTGTCACTGGATCTAACTAACGCCTTTATCCACTGTGCCACGTGTCCTTGAGGAGATAACTGACAACTGACATCCATTAAACATGGCAGATAGAATTAGATCACTCTACCTCAGCGAGTGAAATAAAGGGTTCAGTTCGACATTCCAACCTCCTGAAGAAGTCCGGAGCGTACAACGACCGAAATGTTGTAATAAATAGTGCGACAAAGATGAGGACAGTAGTCTGAATAATGTAAATAGTGTACATAATACTTCATTTCAGAAATATAGACAGGTCATTATTACACAATACGCGTAATAGAATATTATTATTATTATTATTATGAAGTTGTTTACGCATGCGCTTAATAACCGACACTCTTTTTCGATACTCATGGTATAGCAATGACAAGTTATTCTTTGTCAAAAGATTTTACGATAGGATTATGTCCGAGTTATACAAAATAGGATTGCAACAGCTTACTTAGGCGGTGTCGATTTTTGCTTGGTTGCAATATGTGAAAGCCGACAGTTGATGACACTTCCGATAAGATTTAATCGACGTTCTAATGTAAAGGTGCACCGCCTCTATCCGAGCTGTAGACAGTGACTCATACTACGGTAATATTCGCTGTGGTGAAATCGTCCATGGCAAGCAGGTTCCATGGACCGGAAACGCACGCGTGATTCTTTTGTTTATTTCGAGCCGTTTCAGAGAATTGCGGCCGGATGACATTTCGGGAAATTTGCCGCGAATTTTGAAACGTGACAGGTCAGTGGTTTTTCGATGTTGACAACTGTGGATAATTAAATATTGCTCCACGCGTAGAGAGGTTCTGGTTGGTCACGTAGTGCAGTCACTGACAAAGTTCAACACATTGCACGAGTAACAGTGGTAGAAACGAAGCCGTCTAAATCATTGATCAGATCAGATAATGAACCGTCAGAACATCGATCCATATTTATCATCATAAAATGAATAATGCACGTATTCTGTAATTTTCACATAAGTTATTATCATTCCAAACCATTTAACAGTTCTCCTGGGGCGTACTATCAGAATGGAAAAAGTGCCTGGTTTGAAAAGCAAGCTTGGATATGAAATAT